GGTGGTGGTCGTGGTGCTGGTGACGATTGTTGTCGTAGTCGTGGAGGAGGCGGTTGCAGCCATCGTGCTGATGATGGTGGCGACGATGGCAGTGCACTGCACCGGATTGAACCCCTCCCCGCCACTCTTCTTGCCACTGCTCCCTCCTGGTTCATCATCAACACGTGTGTGTGTGTGTGTGTGTGTGTGTGTGTGTGTGTGTGTGTGTGTGTGTGTGTGTGTGTGTGTGTGTGTGTGTGTGTGTGTGTGTGTGTGTGTGTGTGTGTGTGTGTGTGTGTGTGTGTGGTACTGGCAGGGCGCGACGGGCATTGCGTGTCAGCACTTTGGGGCCGAGGACGACGCCGTGCGCTCGTGGTCCGAAAACAGCGGAGACACGAGAGGGGAGAGGGAGGAGGGAAGATGAGGGTGGATGATCGTGCCGCATGTGGAGTTTGGTGCAGATGAATGTATTTCGTCGTTCTTGTCGGGCGTAGCTTTGCATGCGGTTGCCATGTCATTCATTACTCACAGGCTATCATCCCACCACCACCACCACCACCACCACAAACAACAACAACAACAACAACAACAACAACAACAACAACAACAACAACGACAACAACGACAATGACAACTGCGTCTATTGCGGCCGCTTCGCGCCGTTCCCCACACCACGACATGCGCATGTGCGTGCGTGCCAGGTACCTGCGCGACGCGACAGACGGCGGCAACGGCTACTACAGCACGTGGGGCGTGCCGCGCGGGACCAACGTTCCAACCATGATCCTGAAGATGGAATACGCACACTGCTCCCCAGGTCTGGTGTGCGATGGTGCTGCGTGGGCGGTGCCCTACGCTTCGATATGATGTGGTGCATATGGTGAATTGAGAGCGGTGACCTGGCTGCGTGCATGTGGATGACAGTGCCAGCTGTTGCGCTCTGCCCCGCGCTCCTGCTCCTGCTCACACCTCTGTCACCACGATATACCACGATGTGCAACCACGGCCACCATCACCATTACTGCAGATGACGTGAACCAAGGGGTGTGCACCCATCCCGTGCACCTCGGAAGTTGCTCCTCGTACCGCATCCTGTGCTTCCCGTAACCGATGGTGCTGGTGGCCACCTTGTCGCTGCCCTCGTATGATCCCATGCTCACGCCCCACACACCCTCACACACACATGCGGTGTGCCATGTTGGAGTTGTTTACTGGAGCTGTCTGACCCATGGCTCCCACTCGCTCGTTTGAACCGTCCTAGTTGCTCGGGGACACACACGTTGAAGTGCAATGCAATGCAATGGTGCGCGCAATGCAAAGATAGACAGCCTGACCGACAGGCTGACAAGATAGTCACGCAGATAGACAGACAGACAGACAGACAGACAGACAGACAGACAGACAGACACACACACACACAAATGAGTCAGCCAAAGAGGTCTGACATGCTGATGGCTGCTTCCATGATGCGTGCTTTCTCCTCTGCTTCTGCCTCTGCTTTGCTCTTGCTGTTCTTTGCAGCTGCTGTGCCTCGGTTCTTGCCCTCCCTCTTAGCCTTCTTCGTCTTGTGCTCTTGCTTATTGCTGCTGCGTGTGGCGTCGCCGGCGTGCTCCCCACTGCCGCCCTTGCGTTTGCCCTCTGATATGGACGATGAGGCCCTGTCCGTCACTACAGGAGCACAAGCAAGCGAAGCAAAGCATGAGTACATGTTGGCGAGCTGCCGCTGCGTGTGTGTGTGTGTGTGTGTGTGTGTGTGTGTGTGTGTGTGTGTGTGTGTGTGTGTGTGTGTGTGTGTGTGTGTGTGTGTGTGTGTGTGTGTGTGTGTGTGTGTGTGACGCACCTGTGTGGTGTGGTATTCTTGCGACGAGGGCTGGCGAGTACAGGAATGCTGGGCGGTTGATGCAAAGGCGAGTAGACACAAGTTAGGCGCGCACGCAATGCGTTGAACACACCCACCCATACACACACACACACACACACAGACACACAGACACACACACACACACACGCACCTTGCAGTGCGGGTCCAGTGTGTGCATGCCAGTCGTCGAGGTCATCCGCGGCCTTGTGCTTCTTGTTCTTCTTGTTCTTCTTGTGTTTCTTCGTGTCCTTGGCCTTGACAGCTGCTGTGTCCCAGACATCATCGTCGAAGGTGATGTGCTCCTCCAAGTACTCATCCAACTTCTTGCGCACGTGTTTCTGGAACGGGGTGAGTGGCGGCAAGCCCGAAGCAAGCGCAATCGCTGCCTCCCCGGCATCAGCAGACCCTGAGCGCTGGCTCGCCTTGCTCTCTCCGCCCTTTCCACCAGCGTCGCCGCCACCGCCGTTGCTGTTGGCAAAGGGATCGAAGCTTTCAAAGTCAATCTTGGTGTTCAGCGTGGACGGCTTTGTCTGGCCCGACCCCCGTCGCTGCTGCTGGTGCTGGTGCTGGTTTGTTGCTGTGCTCTCTTCATCATCGCTGTCATCATCAAAGGTGATGTGCACGCGTTGGCTCGCCAGCGCCCGTCCCCGCCTTCGCCCGGCCATATCCGCTGCCAACAAGAGCTTTTTCTTGTAGTTGTTGTCTGAATGGTTTACAGTTGCGACGAGAAAGCAAACACGTGCAACCCACATGCCACGACCACGACCATCACGACGACAACGACCATCACGACTGCCTCTCCGCCTGCACTGCCGTCTTCTCCAGCGCCGCCACCGTCTGCTCGTCAATCCGCAGCGCAAGCGAGAACAGCCTGTCGCAGATGTGGTGGTGGTGTGTGTGTGTGTGTGTGTGTGTGTGTGTGAAGGTGCGCGCGTGTGTGAGAAGGTGTGTGTGTGTGTGTGTGTGAACGTGTGTGTGTGTGAACGTGTGTGTGTGTGTGAACGTGTGAAAGTGAAGGTATATGTGTGTGTATGTTCCCCATTACCTTTGTGCCTCTGCTGTGTCTTTGCTCGGGACACCAGTACCGTTCGCACAACACCGTGAGAGGTGCCAGCAGCACGTGGCCTGGGCCTGAGGGGAGCGATGTTTGCACAACAAACAGGAACAACATCCCGCGTACACGTGTGAATGAGTGAGTGAGTGTGTGAGGGAGAGAGGGAGAGAGAGAGAGAGAGAGAGAGAGAGAGAGAGAGAGAGAGAGAGAGTGTGTGTGTGTGTGTGTGTGTGTGTGTGTGTGTGTCTGTCAGTGCGTGAGTGTCAGCGACACACACACACACACATATATATCCCTAGCACCTTTGTGATATCGGGCGACTGAGCAGCGATCATGGCCTGTAGATCAGGGCAGTCGAGCAGTGGCTGCACAACACGACGCGCCCATTGCACCGCCTAAAGGCACGTGATGTGACGTGGCATGACGTACATACACACACACACACACACACACACACACACACACACACACACACACACATGTATGCAGACATGTGTGCCTCATGAGTCAAGGATGACATTGGTGCGTGACAAGACATGCGGCAGTCGCCACGTGGTGCACTCCACGTCGTCCCAGCGACGCCGCGCTTCATCATCGCACCACCACCACCACCGGCCGTGCATGGGACCTTGTGGAAGAGGCGCATGCGGTAGTAGTGCACGCACAGCGCTGTTTCCGCCATGTCGTGTCCTGCTGCTGCAGCCTATGCGGGGTGGTGGTGGTAGTGGAGAGGAGGGCGAACATTTGTGCATGTGTGCATGTGTGCATTTGTACATGTGTGCGTGTGTGCAATTGTACATGTTTACATGTGTGAGTGGGTGCGTGTGCGGCTGACTGTGCTTGAAGATGTGGCAAGGGGCAATCAGCAGCTACTCTCATGAGCTGGAGATCACCACTCAGGGCGCGCACTTCAAGTACACACACACACACGCACACACACGCTCACACACATTGCGATGCGCTGACCTTTTTGAGGAAGTCAAGTGCTGTGCGATCATCCTGACGGCAACCCTGTTGTGTTCGTGTGTCAAGGAGTGTGCACACCAGAATAGCAGCAAGCAAGGCTCAGGAAATAACGAGCAAAGTATGGCATGGTATGACACCTAACTGCTTCACACACACATGTGTACACACACACACACACATACACACACGTGTCCACACACACACACACACACACACACACACACACACACACACACACACACACACACACACACACACACACACACACACACACACACACACACACACGCACACACACACACACGCACACACACACACACACGCACACACACACACACACACACACAACGCGTGGGAAGGAATACCTGTCCTGCTTGGTGCATGAGGCCAAGACGGCACGTGGAGTCGATGTTGCCGTTCTTGTGGGCGCACGTGTGCCACGAGTACACAAAGCAAGTCAAAAGCAAGACCAAGCAAGGCAAGACATCCCTTCAGCAACAGGCAGGCTTACCAGAGCGGTGCATCGTAGAACCAGGAGTCGCCAGCTGTGATGGTGAGATACAGCTCACGCACGAGCGCGTACAGGAGACCAGGAAGGAAGTACAGCTTGTTGCGGTTGAATGTGGCGTTCCATGTTGACTCGCCATGGCGCACAAAGTACAGCTGGCGACAGCCAAAGCATGGTAGACGTTGGGTGGGCGTGAGTCATGTGAGTTGTACGAGAGCACTCTGTGTGTGCGTGTACGTGTGCGTTTTATATGTGGACAGAGCACTTTGTGTGCGTGTTTCAGCTTGTCACGCTGTGTGTGCGCGCCCAGTGCCGTTGCACAAGGAAGTTCAGGTGCAGGGCGTTTGCGTTGTCGTTGTTGTCCCGGCACGCACCGTCTTTGTCTTGACGCTGACTGTGGGTCCCGCGAGGCGCTTCTGCTCCTCTGGATCAGGCAGCGACGTCCATTTCTTGTCCTTGCAGCTGCACAAGCACCGCAGAATGAAGGGATGTCAGGACGAGCGATAGGAGCAACACCAAGGAGCACGCAGCTGCGTCAACACGCACACGTCTTCACGCACCAAACTAGTCTTCAACTTGCATACAACACATGCCAAACCACTTTCTTTCATCCCAACGCACAGCACACACAACACAACACAACGCACAACACACAACACACAACACACAACGTACAACACACAACACATACACAAAGCACACAGCAACACACACGTCGCTGTGGCCTTACAAGAGCAAGAACATGAACGCGTCGATGTGGTATTGGAACCAGAAGCAGAAGTACAGGCCAATGAGCAGGATCAGCCCTGCCATCGCCTGACCAACTTCCACCAGCGTGAACATAATCTTGTTGGCTGTCTGTCTCTGCTGTTGGTTGCGGCAAAATGTGTTACTACTGTTTATAGTGTCAGTGACAGTTTAGTTGAGGAGCCGTCTGCTGCTGTTGTTCGCCAAACACACACACACACACACACAGACACACAGACACACGCAGACACACACACACACAACACACACACACACACACAGACACACAGACACACAGACACACAGACACACAGACACACACACAGTCACCTCCCCGCTTCCACTTTCCCCTTGATGAAGAGCAGGAGCTCGTGGCAGTCGCGTCTCTTGCCCTGGTCGCAGTGCATTGTGAGCAGTGTTTTTGAGGGTGCTGCTGCTGTTGGTGACGATGACGCTGGTTGCTGTGCTTGAGATGCAGTCGAGTTATGACTGGCCTCGCTTGCGAGAGTGGCATTGTTGCTTGTAGTTCCTGTTGTGGTTGTGGTCGTGGTTACTGGCTTCGTCGCAGCATCAGCAGCATCAGCAGTAACGTGCAGCCTGAAGGTGAACAGCGGGCTGCTATCATCACCATCAGCATCGGCATCAGCATCGGCATCAGCATCGGCATCACCACCATCTTGCTTGGCGGTGGCCGCCACTGCCTGTGGATTCCACGTGTTCCTCTTGGCGCTTCCAACAAACACGGCTGCATGGTGCAAGGAAGAGGGAAGCGGTGGATGCAGCACAACGCTTCAACGTGAGGGATTGATGGAACGGGCAAGCATGGGGGTAGATGAAGCATACACATGTTCACGTACTCGACACATGCATCAACCACACGCACACACACACACACACCCACCACCACCACCACCACCACGCACGCACGCACACACACACACACACACCTTGGTCCTTTGAGTTCGTTGGCTGTTCTATGATGGTCACAGAAGGAGCGAGGGCCTGTAGCTGTTGCCGGCATACGTCCACAGCCGTTGCTGCCTCTGCTCTGGCCGTCAGCTGAAACGGCTTCTTCTTCTTCTTCTTCTTCTTGTCCCTTGTGTCATCGTTCCCACCCTTACCTCTGCTCCCTTTCCCCCTCCTATCCGTCGTGCCTTTATCACGCGGCGCCTGCCCATCCCCTGCGCCGCTGCCACCCGATGACACCGCGTGGCCGTTGGTCGCTGCCCCATATTGGGTCGTCCTGCCCGGCCTGGCAATCCGCACAGCCTTTGCCCGCTTCTTCCTGTTCTCCCCGCCATCACCACCGTCTTCATCACCATCATCACCATTGTCGTCGTCGTCGTCACCATCACGGTGATCGTGTTGTCGTCGCTTTGCTGTTCGGGCATCGCCTCTCCGCACATCTCCGCCGCCGCCATCACCCTCCACGGTATATGGATATGGGGCCGCCCCTTCAAGGACTGCAGCGATAGAGCAAGAAGGGGGTGGCGTTGATGAGGGCTGCTGTAAAGGGTGACACAGGAAAAAGCGAGGGCCATCAACAGGAAAACACACGCAACACACAGCGCACAACGCACATTGGGTGACTGTTGGGTCGTCCTTGAAGGCCGCGAGGGGAAGAAACGTCCAGGCCAGCCCCCATCGAAACGTACGGCCCTGATGTTGCACGTTGCAGTGAGAAAGCAGTGGTGGAGATGAGAATGGTGACACATGGCACGACTCATGTCATCATCATCATCATCATCATCATCATCATCATCATCACAAGTCGTACCTGCTTGAAGACGGCGTGCGTGACAAATGTGGCGTCGGTGGCGGCAATGATATCCAGCAGCGGGCGCAGGGACGACTTGCACCCCAGCATCGCAGTGTACCACGATACCCTGGTGTGAAGTGAACCCACGATGGTGACGGTTGAGTTCACGTGTGAGATTAGGTGTTGCTCCGTCAGCGCATGTGCATGGCACACACACACACGCACACGCACACACACACACACACACACATACGCACACACGCACACACACATACGCACACACGCACACCAAAGAGACCATGCAACTGCACCTTGTGCCGAGGAGTTGGCTGTCCGAAATGATCTTGCGCACGAATCCAACCTCGCCTCCCTGCAAGCAGGCACACGTGCACGTGCATGCACACACACGCACAGCACAAAGGTGAGCATTCAGGCAAGTACACGAGGGCATGTATCACACCAGCACACCACAGTGACACTGCAAGCCTGTCTTGTCCCTCCTCCTGCAGCGTCACCTCTGTCTGGCTTTCGTGCGACGCCGCTGTGCTCGTTGTTCGGGGCGGTGGCCGGCTCGCTGGTGACACCAAGCAGCAGCAGCAGCAGCAGCAGCGAAGAAGAAGAAGAATATGATGGTGAGGGTGTGGGCATTGTTGTGGAAAAGGCGTTTCGATGCAAACAGACACACACGCACACGCACACACAAACACACACACACACACATTCACACACACACACACATTCACAAACACACACACATTCACAAACACACACACACGCACACACCGCATGCACACGCGCACACGCGCGCACACACACGCACAAATGCACGCGTTCGCATCAAATTGTACCTTTGCGTGCTGGTGCTGCTGTGACGCCAATGTCGTAAAATGGCGGATTGCACATGGTGAACACGCGCGCACCCTGAGGAACAGCATCCAACGCGTCGTCAACCACCCCGCACAGCGTCTTGCCGGCATCTGTGTTGAGCACAGCCGTGATCTGCCGCTGCAGCCCGCTCTGCTTGATGTTGGTGGTCGCAAACTGCCAAACGCACAAGAAGGTGAGTGTATCTACCGTGTGTGCAGGCGAGCGCAAGCCACAATGAACACACACACACATACACACACGCGCACACACACACGCACACACACACACATACATACACACACACACACAAACACACACACACACACACATTCACAAACTCATAAAGAAAAAAACAAAAACACACCTCGAAGCTGCGCTGGTCAATCTCCGTTGCAATGAAGCGCCACGAAGGGTTGCGGCGAACGCCAAGAAGCGGATAAATACATGAGGCGCCACAGCCTGTGTGTGTGCGTGTGTGCGCGTGCGTACGATTGTGTTTCGGGCGTGAGCTGTGATTTGCACACAAAGTGTGCGCACACACAACACACAAACAAACACACAACACACACACATACATGCATACACACATACACACACACATACATACACATATACACACAAACAAACACACAAGACACACACAAGCGAGGAAGCAGCGTACCGATATCAATGCCAGCAGTGTCGACGGGTGAATCGTTCTTGAGCGTGAAGAGCAGATCTTCGATCCACAGGATGTAGTTCAGCTTTTGTGGTACCTGTTGCACAACCAGGACGCAGAGCAAGGACAAAGGGGCGTGAGACATCAAGATCAGGGGTTGAGTGCAGCGAAGGGTATAGCAGGGCGCTGTAAGCAAGCGTGGCCACGGGCCTCACCGTCGGTACGAGGCGATCGTGAGGCAGGTCGACAGTCAGGTCGAAGTCATCCTTGAGCAGCGCGATGGTCAGTTCGCGCACGCCATCTGGATTCTGCACGTAGTACAAGCAATAAGGAATGGTGTCAGTGCAGCCGAGGGAAAGAAAGGGTGTGGTGAGGGAGACTCGAGCACAGAGACAGCGCGGATGTGACGTGCTGCGACACAAGTGTACGTACACCCACCCACCCACACACATACGCGCAAGAACGCGCATGCAGACCGACCCACCCACCCACACGCACACACACACGCACACACACACACACACACACACACACACACACACACACACACACACACACACACACACACACACACACACACACACACACACACACACACACGCACCGAGAAGTCAAAACATTTCTTGCCACGGTTGCGAGTGACAAAGTACTGCTTGAGCTGGGGAAACCGATCGCTGAGGGCGAGGAAATCCTTGCGTGTGCGGTACCTGTTCTTGATGTGCATGGTGTGCTGTTTGATGCTCGCACGCAGGCGAAAGGCGGCTTTGCCAACAGACAAACCAACCAACTCCAGCGCCCACAATCGCTGTCGTCGTTCAAGACAAACAAGAGGTCCAGCCCACAAAGTGACCCGACAAGCAACACCAACCACAGACAGGTCGGAGTTGGAGGTTGCTCGGAACAGTGCGGTCGTCACTGTCAAATCACACACACAACAGCAAGAAGAAACAGCGGACGTGCGCACGTTCCGACCGCGAAAGAAAATTCACAGTCACATTCGCAGATCGCCACAACTTCCTCAATGCCTGCAAGGACTTTCAACAAAGAAGCTGAAGAAGCTCTGCTGGCTGAAGCAGGAGGAAGCAGACGGCATTGATTGTGTTGTGAGGCCGCACCACAGCCTCGCTTGGCTTGGCTCGTCTTGGTTGGCGTTGTCGATGACCCAGGCGGAAGCGATGCGGAGAAGGATACAAGGGCAGCAAAGCCGCGGCGCTGCTACGAGTGCTGCAGGAGGGGTTAAATCGATGTCCTTGGCTGTGCTGATCTCGTTCAGCTTGCTGTTGTCAACGGTAATGACAGAGGCACGACCATGCCCACCAAACTCGTATTTCGTCTATTCGGCACACCACCGTGCAAGTCACTGTGCCTGCGCACGCGGCTTGAGGTGCACTGGCAGTCAATGTACCACAGGTATGTTGCGTGTTTGTAGGCTTGTGTTGTGGCGTTGTTGAACAGCACACGCACGGAGCACAACAACATGAGAACAAATGGCTCTGCTCGTTGCCTCGCTGCCCGTGAGCATCCGCTCGCCAGCCGGCTTGCTTGTCTTGTCCCCTATTTTGAACGTGGCGCCTATACATGACTTCAAACACAGCACTGTCTTCGTTCCGTGCATGCATGCATGCATGTGCACGTCTTGTGCTGCCACGCCATTGCTTGTTCCGCTCATGCTCCCATGCGTTCATGCTCTCATCTTCTCGTGCTCTCTGCGCTTTTGCTGTATTGGTGCAGGACACGACGACAACCTGCCGATATCTTACACTGGTGCAACGCAAGGGTTTCCGTTTGAGTGCCGCGACTGCTTCTGCGTTGTCCCCGGCGAAGACACAGACCACAGCGGTGGCGACGTGGAGTTCCGTTGGCTCAAGACCACAGACGGCGACTCCGTCCGTGACTTTATTGACCCGCTCTTTGAGCAGAGTTGCCGCACCATTCCCGACGCGGTCGTACCCAAACCACGTGCACTGCACCACGTCAACTGGCTCCACTTTCCAAAGTATGCGAGTGTGTGCGAGAGAGAGAGATAGATAGATAGAGAGAGAGACAGATAGATCGATAGATAGATAGACAGATAGAGAGAGAGAGATAGAGATAGAGAGAGCTTGCGTATATATGTGTGTATGTGTGTGCGTATGTGCGTGAATCATTTTGTGCGTCCCCATCCTTTGGCTCTTCTCTTCTTCCTCATCCTTTTTTTGCTTCTCCTGATCGACTTACACCTCGTTCTTTACCCTGACCCCCAATCAGGTGTGGGTCCAGCTTGACAAACACAATGTACCACTACGGGTGTCGGGATGTGGAGACAGCGCGCGTCTTTGATGATTTGAAGGACCCTGGCCTCCCTGCTTACATGAACAGCACCTGCCAGTATTGCTACGAGCCATGCAAGGGATGCTTCACCCTCTGGGCCCCACACGACGGGTGCGTGGAATGCCTCTGCGCTTGTGTGGTTGTGAGTGTGTTTATGCCTCTTTGTTGTGAACTTTAGAATGAAATTTTGGCTCTGTGTCTGCTTGGTCGTGCCCTGCCCTGCGTCCCCCCTTGACCACGTTTGTTCTGCTTGCCTGCATGCACCAGCTAGTTTCTTGTCCGTGGCTTTCACCTCACCTCATCAACTTCAACACACCCTGCTCCAACACACAGTCTGATGCGCACACGCAAGAAGGGGACAGTGCTGCGCCTGCCGTTCCGTGAGAAGCACTGTGCCGCTGATCGTCTCGGTGAGCAGGTGCAGGAGGGGGAGGAGGAGGAGGAGAAGAAGGGCAGGGATGCGGGGGCCAAGAGGGAAAAGGCAGCCGGAGGGAGATGTGGAAAGGTGAGAAGCTTTGGAAGAAGGAGGAAGGGAATTGTATTAGTCGGAGGCGGGACGATCAAACATTGAGATGATGTAATCATTTCACTCATGCACGCTTCACGCTAGATCACAACCCCCTCCCCTCCAACTCACTCATGAACACGTGTGTGAACACGCATTCATGCCACGCTTTTACACCTTTTTTCAGGCCCTATTCCCGGGCACACGCCGCTGTCTCCAGCACGTGCACGGGAGCGGTCGGGCTCCATCCTGGCCATTTTCCGCGACCCGCGGCGACGCGTCCTCAGCGCATTCAACTACCACAAGCACAGCTTTGGAATGAACAGGTCCGTGGCAAATGCTCTCGTGCGAACGGATGGATATGCCCAGTGTGCAAAGAAAAAACAATGTGCTTGCATGCAAGCACAATATTCCCCTTCCCCTGAGATTGATTGGTTGCATCTAGTAGGCTTCTCTCCCTGCCAGCTTCTGTATTGTTGTGCCAACATGTGAAATGATGATGACACCCACATCTGCTTCTTGTGCCTCTGACCCTGTGCTCCTGTTTCGCCTCCCAGAATTGACCGGCAACGCATGCTGGAGGTGACGCACACGGTCGAAGCGTTTGCAAACTTTCCTGGCGTAGCCAGCTGTCAAACCAAGATGCTGCTTGGCTACACCTGCACCACCCCAGCCCCGCTCACCCCAGCAGGTGTGCACTTGCGCGTGTTTGCACGCATGTATTTTCTCCTTGCATGTAGTGCTTGCTGTGCTTTGTTGTGCTTTGTTGTGCTTTGCTGTGCTTTGATGCATGTCGCAATGCTATGGTGTGAACACCCATGGGTGTGTCAATCTCTCTCTCTGTGTGTATGTTTGTCTTTGTGTGTCATTGCATCATCAACATCACGAACCTGGGTGCATATGTTTTCTCTGTCAAAGGAAACCCAGCTCACCCACCACATTGTATGCTCATTCTTCTTCCTTGCAGACTTGGATGCGGCGAAAGCGGTTGTCTCTGAGCGCCTGGCACTGGCTGGCATTATGGAGCACTGGAACGCGTCCATCTGCCTCTTCCATCGCATGTACGGCGGGAAAATGCACCCGACAGAGCTGGCTAACCTGCGACCCACGGGCACACGCACGGAGCATGGTGATTCATCATCTTCATCGTCATCGTCATCGTCATCGTCATCGAGGAATGAGGCGCGAAGAAAGATTGTGCAGGGGATGATGGCGGATATTCGGGCAGAGGCCGAACACACACACGACGACCACGACGATGGTGGTGGTGACGATGGTGGTGGCGG